CGGCCGGTGAGCGGGGCCGGGGGGCTCGGGGCCGGGGCTGGGGGGCTCGGCTGACGTTCTCCCTCTGTCCCCAGGTCAGCGCCGCGGCGGCGGCCGGAGCCTTCCCGAAGCGTGTGAAGGTGGTGGAGGTGGGGCCGCGCGACGGGCTGCAGAACGAGAAGGTACGGGCGGGCCTGGGAGCTCCTCAGCCCTTCCCGGTCCCTCTCTGAGGGGGGTTTCTCTAACCAGATACCCGTGAGGTGCCGTTGTGCCCCGCTGACAGGGTCGTGGGTTTGTTGTTTGTTTTTTTTTTAAACACCGCTTTTTGATGTTGAAAGCTGAGGGGTGGTGGTTTGCAGTGGTGGAAAAGTTTCTTGTGGAAATAATAACGTCAGGTCGTTTTTCTTTTCTTTTTCTTAGAACGTTGTACCAACACCAGTGAAGATCAACTTAATCAATATGCTGTCAGAGACAGGGCTTCCAGTTATAGAGGCCACCAGCTTTGTTTCCCCCAAATGGGTTCCTCAGGTCAGTATTCAAATGGGATTTACAATTGTATGTTATAAAAATGCCTAATAATAGATAGTAATCCAGTGAAAAGATTCTGCTGGCTCCGAAATCCTTGTTACTGTGGCTTGTAACTGGGCAAGAAGCAGCAAAGCCAAATAAAAGAGCTTGCAACATCCCAGGCATTCCCTTTGGACCTGGTAAAAGAGCAAATGTGCAGCTCAAATACAAACAGCTGGTTGTGCACGTGTTGGTGTTGGCTTGGCTGGGTGACTGAACTATGATCCTTTGCAGGGCACAATGCTGTTTGCTCTTGAGAGGCCCATTTCTCTTATTCCTAAATATTTCTGTTCCCATTATAAAAAGGAATTTTAAAAATAATTTTAGAATTTGCAGAAGTGGTTGTTGTCACCCTTAGAAACCTTTCCGTGTTTACTTTGCAGATGGCTGACCATGCTGAAGTCATGCGAGGAATTAATAAGTTGCCTGGTATAAGTTATCCTGTGCTGACCCCTAATCTGAAAGGATTTCAGGCAGCGGTAAGAGATGGCAGCGTCTGAATGTTCACGGTGCCTCATGTGCAGAGTTGCCTACGAAGGAACATTTAAATAGTGATTAAGGGTGGGAAATGCAACTTCATTCTGGCAGGCAGCAGTCTCATCTTGTAGTTCCTTTTCAAGGGATCGTTTTGTTGGGGAAAGAGAAACCTCTTGTTTGTAATAGAAAACACCTTGATACATTTTCTATTATTAAAAAAAAAAAAGTAATCTATTTTGACAGTGATGCTTTCAGTCTTACCTGCATGTCCCACAGCTCTCCTGACTACATCCAGCTGATGTAGCTTTACTGCTGCATCTGTAACTTTACACTTTGTTTGAAGACAAACTTGCATGTGTCATCATGCTTTTGCTGTAGAATGAACTGAGAAAAGAATGGGGTTATTTGGGGAAAAATTGGGGAAAAAATATTTTTTACAAAATAAGAGAACTGTACTCATGGTTGTGCTTGTCATTTCCCTTGCAAGAGAAATCAGCTTGCTTTAATTTATGCTTTCTGTTGGCAGGTGGCAGCAGGGGCCAAAGAAGTGGCGATCTTTGGAGCAGCATCTGAGCTTTTCACTAAGAAGAACATCAACTGTTCCATAGATGAGAGTTTGGAGAGATTCAGTGAAGTGATGACCGCAGCGAGAGCAGCCAGCATTCCTGTCCGGGGGTAAGAAGTTCCTGCTGCGAACTTTGCATCGAGCAGGTCATGTGGAGAGGTGTGACTGCTTGAGTTTATCTCTTTGGAGTCCAGGCCGTACAGTGCTGGGGAGTGGGATTTCTTTTAAACATTACCTTTTTTTGGGGGGTGTCTCTCTACCTGGACGGTAGCAAGCAGTTGTGAGCTCAGTGCATTGAGAAGCATTAATTTGGAAACACCACCACACTAACAGAGTTTCAGATGCTGGCTTGGTGCAAAGCCTGCAGCACTCATGACAGTTTACACTCTTCCATTTGGATTCGCCCTTTGTGTAATTATTCTGTCTTCAGCCTTACCAAATGGTCCAAAATAATACTAGCTTCTTGGCAGACATTCCACATGGAATTGCGTAGATCCACAAACGTAGCAGTCCTGTGTACTCTCGTCTTGGCAAATTTTTCATGTCCATGGAAGAAGTAATTGTTGAGTAGTTAATTACATAAGCTTTGTCCACATGACTGATTTTTAGAATATGAAATTAATTCTTCCATTGTATAGAGCATGCAAGATGCAGCACAAGTCCTGACTAATTTGGCCATGATCTTGCTTTAGTTCTCTAGCTAAAAGTACGTATTATTTTAATCATAGATACGTGTCCTGTGTCCTCGGATGTCCCTATGAAGGGAAGATTTCTACAGCTAAAGTTGCAGAGGTGAGTTCATCATAAATATAACCAGAATTTCTGAGACGTTTTTGTCTCCCTTTTGTGGATGTGAATTGGGCACTGGGGGCTGGAGGATGTGTCAAACCGTTTAACCAAAGACACAGGGAAGACCGGGGAAGGTTACAGCTAGCTGCCACCCTAGGGGGGAGGGAAGACTGAGTCTAGCTGCAATGGACAGGGGAATTCAGGGAGGTGTGGGGACCTGGAGACTTTTGATCTCAGAGAAGAGTCTCCTGGCTGTTGTCCCCATGGCTGTTGTGCTCCAGGGAAGCATACACTGATTCCTCTGTACAGCAGGTCTCCAGCTCTGGGGAAGGGAATGGCAAAGCTGCCTTTTCAGTAAGCATCTTGGGTTTTGGACAGGTCTCAAAGAAGATGTACTCAATGGGATGCTACGAGATTTCCCTGGGTGACACCATTGGTATTGGGACCCCAGGGAGCATGAAGGAGATGCTGACAGCAGTCATGAAAGAGGTGCCAGTTGGGGCCCTTGCTGTTCACTGCCATGATACCTACGGGCAAGCTCTTGCCAACATCTTGGTAGCACTTCAGGTAAGGTTCTTGCTTTCCTTGAGTTTTTTTTTGTGCTTGCTTGTGAACCATAGATTTGAGGAACAGGACCACAGTTTGTCCTTTAAGAGGAGTTTACTGATAGTGGTTTTGTTTGCAGATGGGTGTGAGTGTGGTTGATGCTTCTGTCGCTGGCCTTGGAGGCTGCCCCTACGCCCAAGGAGCATCAGGAAATGTTGCTACAGAGGACTTGGTGTACATGCTGAATGGCCTGGGAATCCACACGGTAAGCGCAAGCAGCTTTTGCCTGGAGCACCTGAGCCTCCCGCACAATGGCTCTGTTTGGGTTTCAGCAGGAGTTCAAAATTTGGCCCGGGGAGCCTGAGCATAGTGGGTACAGCTGGAGGATCACTCTGGGTCAGCCAGGCTGTGCCTGGGGGCCTTGTCTTGCCACACTAATCCCACCCCCACCCACCGGGAGCATTTCCTTCTCTCCCTTTTTCAGTGCTCTGCAATTTGGCACTTGCTCTCAGAATCACACTAGTGAGCAGCAGGCACTGAGGGCCTCGTTAATGTACCTTTAAAGGCTCCCTCACCGCCTCCTAGTCTCTCCCAGTGATGCCAGTTGTTAGTGGACAGCTTTATGTGGCAGAACCAGTACCAAGGCATGTCGTATCTTTTTTCCCGTGAAGGGTGTAGATCTGCAGAAGCTGATGGACACGGGCACGTTTATTTGCAATGCTCTCAACAGACGAACCAATTCCAAAGTGTCCCAGGCATCTTGCAGACTGTGATACTGAATCGCGTTTCTCCTTGGATTAAGAAGAAAGCAAGGATCCGGCATTGGCCGTGTTTCCCCTCTGTTCTGCTGCCTCTGATCTTCAGTGCTCCTTCCAGACTCAGTGCTTGAGAGGAAATGCATAATCCATCAGAATCTATAAAGAAATGAAAAAACCAAGAAGACTATATTCAACCTTGAAGGTGTTAGCCACTTGCCTTAGAGAAGGGAGGACATGGGTGGGCCGAGGGAGAAGTAGCGGCTGCAACACTTGCCTTCTCGCAGAGAGCTGCGGTCTTTGGCACCAGCTCAGAACAGCATCTGATAACTTCTGCCTTGAGAGTGTGTTGCCATAAACTCCCAGCAGAGGATAAACCACAGCTTTTCCAGTTAGAGCACTTCTCCAGGTCGGGCTTGACCCTTCTTCCTTTCTCTCTCCTCGCTACAAATGTTAAGACTGAAATCAAAAGTCTCCCCTTTGTCATTCACGTGTCAAGGGGCAACCTTGGACCTTCTGTCTTAGCATCTAGGGGTTGTAATAAAGGACTGTATCTGTTGTAAGATACTTTTAAATACTAGGAGTAATTATCACATTATTTAACATTCTAAACTATTAGAAATTTGGTTTAACTAAACCCATTAAAGAGCTTTTGCTGCTCGTTGGGTTCCAAGTGCCTCTTCTACCAGCACTCAATGTGGAAACGCTGCACCATCATGGGCTGTGGCCGATCCCCTGAGAGCAGACAGCGTGGAACACGCTGATTCTGTACGCACGGGTACTCCTCACGGTAGACAGGTCCTAGGGAAGTCTTCCCCCGTCTTCTATTTAAAATAATTTATTTAACAGTTTATTTGTGAGACCAGAGACAAGTGCAGAGACCTTGTAGCTGTGTGCTGCACCTTTCTCTGACCTTCCCAGCGTGCTGTATACGGGACCGTCCCTCCGGGTGTCTTCGCATCACTTCAATAAGCTGTAACACTTAAATAAACCGTAACACTGAAATAAGCTGCCTTCGGTGAATAAATCGGTGGGTTTCAGCCTGGGGCTCGGCGCCCTCCTCCCGCCGCTAGGGGGCGCTGCGCGATTGGATGCTCCCTGCCCCTCCCCGCGGGGCGTCTGGTGTGGCCACGCCCTCTCTGCCCGGCGCGCCAATGGCCGCCGTCCCTCTACGCTACTCCCCGCCCCGGGGGAGGGGGCGTGGCGACGGCACTCCGCGCATGCGCT